TTGTTGGTTTGTGCGCAAACTTTTATTTTAAAAAGTCTGTAATTGGGGTTTATGCCACACATTTCACTGTTTCTGTTTTCATGAACAGAGTTTAGGGTCTATCTGTGTTGCCATAGTTTGCACAGCACTCCATGGCGGGCACCCCCAATTTACCTGCCCACCCCCCAGGGATGCACACACATCGTCTCTAGGAACATCCTCCTGTGGGTCCCCTGTAACCTGCATCACAGCTTCTCTGGATACATACCCAGAAGTGGGGTCGCTAGGCTGTAGGGCATACGTAAGCTTGATTTGACCCAGGGGGCCAGACTGCCCCGGCCACCCTCCCATCAGCCATGCAGGAACAGTCTTCAGCTCCCAAACTTGGCCAACTATTGGCCTTATCCACTTTCTGATTTATTACCAGTCTAATAGTTGTACAAGGATGCCTCAATACTTCTTCAATTTGCATTTCTGCCATTACTCAGCAGTGGGAGCAGGCCTTCAGAGCTCTGTTAGCATAAAGACATGTGAAATGCTTAGAACAGTCTGCAGCACAGGCCCAAATGGCTGGCTGTCATTGTTCTGCAAATACAAGCACCGTGTAAGTGTGGTTGATGTAAAAATATTGTCTGAACATAAAACCTTGTATTCTAGTGATAATTGCTGATCTTGAATGACTGTTCGTTGTTTACCTTCTAGTAGGACTCATATCTGTCCACCATATACTTCTCTCCATTCCCACTGTCCCCACCTTGGTTCATCCACCCCACGTCAACTGGCCTCCTCCAGTCTTTACATTTGCTCTGGACACCTCCTCGCTCCAGCACCAGTTCTCCATGCTCCAGTGAGAGGGATCTTTTCAAAAGCCTTCCTTCCTGCCTACGACTTCCCATTTCTCTCAGGAGAAAGCCCTCACCTTAGCCCTCAGGGGCTGCGTCTGCCCACCCTTCTGCCTCTTCCTGACGCTGCCTCCTGCCTTTCTACCCTCTGGCCCCACTGGCTGCCCCTCTGGGCCTCCAGTCCCACTGCCCCCCCAACCCCCACCCCACAACTCCCAAAGTCAAGTCCTTCTTAATCTTCAGAATTCAGCTCAAGTGTCACTTCCCCATCCCTAGACTGAGTCAGTTCTCCAGTTATCGTTTCATAGCCCTTAAGTCATCCATAATCCAATAATCAATTCCAAAATGATCTACTTAAAGTCCCTCTCCCAGCTGACTGCCCTGAGGGCAGGGCTGTGACTGCTTCTTCCCCTGCACCCCTGTTTCTTGCACAGTCCTCGGAAGAGGTAGATGCGCAACAAATCCTAGAGCGGACGGACATGGAACAACAAAGACCTCTTTATCACAGAATAATTTGAACTGAAGTGAAACGCAATCCTAAAACAGCCAGAGCATGAGACACTTTGTCCCAGATGAAGGCCCTGGGTGGTGTGGCCTCTGCCCATGGGGCTGTGGCTGAAGCTTTTCTCAGGAGACCCAGCAAAGCTGCCTCAGGGGAACTTGTGACTCGGAGGAAGGGAGAAAGGAGAGGCCTTTGTGGGAGATAAAAGGGCTGCATTTTGATAAATGATAAAGTACAACCAAAAATATAAAAATCTTACTTTGAACAAAACGTAGACGCTTGTAAGAGTGCCTAATTAAAACAAAATGAGGAAATCGAATCAGTGAGGAAAACAACTCTTCAAAAGGATAAGCTCTGTTCTGACCCGGCCCGTGGGCTTTGTTACCTAGTTCTCTTTCCCTGCAAAGAATGGGTATTGGCACCTCACTTTGCCTCCCTGTGTTTCCAAAACAACTGTTGCGTCAAATACTATCTTAAGTACTTTATTTAAAATAAGCACCACTGTATCGCTAATTAAAAAAGGACTGTTTTTGTTGTTGACATAAGAAATGCCCAAACCTGTAGAGAACTTTTATGAGTTTATTTGAGCCAAACTGAAGATGATTGCCTGGAAGCAAGATCACAAATGCTCCTGAGAGTGACAGTTTTGCAGTTCCTTTTCTGTTTGGAAGGAAGGAGGGCAAGTAAGGAAGATTACCTGGAGGTGGGAGAAAGCAAAGTGGGGATTGTATTACAGGATGGTTAGCAAAATTAGGTGCTCCCTTGAGGGTGGTTATTTCAAAGGTGTGTTAACCTAGATGTTGAGAAGCAATGGAAAG